TGATTTAGCTAGGTACTTGATGAGGCTGCAGTCAAATGTCAACTACGCTGCTCTCTTATCTGAGGCTCTACTTGGGAAGGATTTGCTTCTGAGCTCATGTGATTGTTGGCAGCTTCTTGTGGGCTCCCTGGCTGAGTGCCTCAGTTTCTTGTTGACTGTCACCTGGAGGTGGCCCTCCCATGACTCATACTATAGGCAGCTCACCATGAGGCACCTGGCTTCTTCAAGGCTAGCAGAGGACAGGATCTTACAGCAGCAGCATAGACATTACAATGCTATGTGATGCAACCACGTGGATTCCACCATTTCTACCTTGTTCTGTTGGTTACAAGCCAATCACAGGTGCTCCCCCTCCCCATACATTCACATTCAAGAAGGAGGGGATTCCATAGTCATGGACAATGGCCGGGGGGATTCCATAGTCATGGACAATGAGAGGGGGATCCTGGTAGCCATTCTACAGTTGGCCACATTTGAGGCTGGCCAGGAACATGGCTTCCTTTTATCTTTACCCTCTGTTCTGTGCATCTTCCTACTTAACTAGGAGCATGTTTTCCATCCCTCTGTCTTCTTCCCTCCTCCTGACCTGCAGAGAATTCAACAATCCCAGGTGGCTTTTCCTCCTCCCTTTGGCTATAGAAATGCAAGAAAAAGGTAGCAGAAACTCTTGGTAAGCAGCTCTCATGCTATAGGGCCCTCCCTTGCCAGCTGAAATTTTGAGTGTGTAACACCTTTCCTAGTAGATGTTTCTGAGTCATAATGTGGCTTATATCATATAAAGGACCTGAGTGGGATCTCCTCAGCTTTTGTGTCTTCTGGTCACTGTTGTCTTTAAGCAAGTGCTAAATTCCAAAACTAGTTCACTTTCATGGTGCATCCCTTTAGGATCTCTTGCTATGCCTGTTTTTAGAGTCATTAGCGGTTTTGGTTCTTTTGCTCTTTGGCCCCAATAACGGCCCTTTTGTATTATTTCCCTCCTCTCGTCAGTCATTCTTGGGTATTTCTTGCCTTTCTCTGGCCTGCTCTGGCCTTCATCAGTCTGCAGTTACTGCTCTCTCTCCTTGCTGAGAAGGCAGTGTCATTTTGTGGTTAAGAACAAGGACTAAAGCCAGGCTGCCAGAGTTTGAATCGCAGCTCTGATCTTTATTAGCTGAGAAATCGCGAGCAAGGGATTCAGTTTTGCATCTGTATGGCTGGTATTAACATTTTTTAATTTTTCCACTGGCCAAAAAGCTGCTGCCACTATCACTCTCACTCCCAAGATATAGGTGCCATTTATGTTTTATTCCTAAATGAAACTCAACCCCAATCCATTTGCTGGTCATCACCTGGTACGTTTTGCCTCCTCAGGATGAGGACGGTATTCTTAGAGTAGCAACAACATTTAATGAGCACTTCCTGCTTGCCATGACCCTTATTGAATTGTTTGCAGGCATCATTTTTTTAAAACCATATAGCAACATTAAGTTGTAGTACTGCTATTACTTCCGTTCTATAGAAGAAGAAACGGAGGCTTAGAGAAATTAAACAACATGCTCGAGGTCTTCAGAGCAGACTGGGGAATGCGGTTCTGTGCGATTGCAGAACACATGCTTTTAATGACCATAGGGCACTGTCTCCCATAGACGCAGCCCCAAAACCTCTTATTGAGCTAACTCCTTAGGAGGAAAGAGCCTAAGAATCCAAAATAATCATGTCTTATGGGTGCAAAAGTTTTTATCCACTTCTGCAGCCTTAGTACAAATGCCATTCTCTGGCCTCTTGGTTCTGAAATGCTCTTGCTTGTGATGCCCACCAGTCTCCTTCCGCCATTGGGGAAGCAGGATTGGCCTTGCCCGAGAGGAGAATTCCATACATTCAAAAAAGGAATGTATCTTTTTGGCCAAGTATTGGTGTGCCTTATGGAATCTCAACACTGTATAGGAAGCGTGATTAAGAAATATTGGGCTTTTCATAAACCCCGCCAGGTCTTATATTGTATGTTCAGAAAATTCTCTTTACATGCACCAGCTAACTTATTTGCTTTCATTCTGGTGATACTGCCTTCACACTGTATTCTTTTAAATGAACTTCATCTCAACCACCTTCTAACCCTTTCCCCACCTCCAGTACTTTAACGCAGTGACTTTGGCCAAATGGTTAGTTCATTAAAGTCTTGTTGAAGTCACTTGTAACTCCTTTGTGTAACTGGAGTTGTGGCAAATTACCTCTTTGAGGATAAATTTGATTCCTTGAATGTATTAAAATACTTTCCACTCTAGAACATAAAGTGGTGGTGTTCAGAAATCAGGAGTGACTAAACTGTGATGAGACAGATTTTTCTGTGGGCAATAATTGTACACTGGTTTTGAAGGGAAAGGAAAGTACTCCACTCATTCTGAGCAGTCAGCATCAATGGAATGGGTCCTAAAGGCGATGAGTTATAAGGGGTCAATGAACACTTTTTTAAATAGAAAGTTCTGCGTAAATGTTGCTATTGCCTTACCTGTGTGTCTCCCCCCGCCCCCGGCAAACAGCTCGCAAATCCACACTATTGGTGAGACTGCAGTGTGAAGCTAGCCTGGGTAGTAGGGTGCCTGCCATTCTCAGTGCGGCTTTTGTTTCCCACAGACATCTGCTGAGTACTTGGCATTACGGTGTAGACCAGAAGAATTAGCACTGATGGAAACGATTCATTCCTTCTTTCAAATATTTATCATAAAAAGCCTTAGTACTGATACGAAGGGTGCTAACAAATATATAGCTAGAGCTTTCTGTTGGTACATTAGTAAAGGCTTTCGACTAAGATGGAGATTTTTATTTAACACTCCAGAGCAAAATAGAAAAGTTGTATATTGTTGTCAAAAGTATGATTTGAGTATCTCTCCAAAATGTTCACATGGGGAAAGGGTCTGAATTTAATGGACTGTATACCATAATTGCAATGGTTACCATGAACTTTATCATACTTAGAGTAGTAAACATAGTAACTACAATTATATTTTGGAGACACAGTCTATGATGGGCACTGTAATACATCATCTCTAATCTAAATAACTACTCTCCAAGGTATTTTATAGACTTGGAAACTGAGGCTTAGGAAGATTAAATTGCCTAGCAAAGACCACACTGCAGTTAAATAGCAGAGGTAGAGTTCAAGCCTGTTTATTTTAAACCTGTAAGAAAGCTTTCTACATTTCCCATCATTTTAAAAGGCATCTAAAAGATGCCAAGTGGCCAAGTGGCATCTAAAGCTCTAGCTAGCCAGTGAGCATGTTCCTTGACTCCCCAGTCCTTCCCTGCTATTTTTATTGATATCGGCAAGTTCTTTCTTTGTTACTAGGAAACTCTCTGGATTTATGTGGTGTTTGCTTCATTCTCACCCTTTTGTATGTCACACACCTGAACACATACATACACCCTAATGGTTTGGATACCTTGAGGTTTCTGTCTATTCTATAATTGAACTGACACCGTCGCTCATGGCACATCCGTGTACGAGCCTTTTTATAATTATTATTAATCTCTCGGAATGACTTAACACTGAGGCTTCAGGCGAGGACAGTTGGTAGGTCCCTATTTTATGTGTTGTCTACTTGAAACCAAATGTTCTTCATGTAAAATGAGTGTTAGTTGCATTCTGACTGGTAGAAGTTGAGTTCATTTGGTGCTCTTCTGTGAAGGGAAAGAAAGCAGAACTTCCTGTCCCTAGGTTGTACACCCCATAATGTTATGAAATTAGAAAACAAAAAGTAAGATATTCTGAATGACTTCCTCTTGGAAAAAGGAAGGCACTGTGCTGTGCTTCCATTCCAAGGAAGGAATGGGCATATTCCATTATTTCACGAATTATAGGAATCTCCAGTGTTTAAATTGGACATACGGACAAATAGCAAGTCTGATCACTGAGCATGGGGTGTTCCTGGGGCCGGGATAATGTCCCTGTCAGACCAAAACACGCTTGACTTGGGCAGATTATCATTTTCATTGTATTTAATCCTTACAACCATAAAGTATAGTGGGAGGCCTTTGATCCTTTTTCAGAAATGAAGAAATTGAGGCTGGGAAAAGATGAAATGATTTTCCCAAGGTCATATGGCTGCTAAGTGGGAGGACTATTTTTTTAACTATATTTTTTATTGTTTATTACAGTCGTTACCATTTTTACCCCTTTGCCCACCTCCACCAGCCCACATCCCCTTTCCCTCAGGCTATCACCAAACTATTTTCTGTGTCTGTAGAGGTAGGACTTTGAACAAGGTTTTATCTATGCATTGTCTTTTGGTGGTTTGGGTTGCCTAATTATTCACCTTTCCTATCCTATAAGTTTTCAACAATTTGAGAAATAGAGCAGGGATTCAAATGGGGATCAACATAATCGCGTCATTACTGATAAAGTAGGATTAGAGAACACAGAAGTGTCAGCTACTTCCTTCTCTAAAACGTGCATTGGATCCTAGCAACCCTCACATAGTCATCCAGTAAAAGCTGGAGAAAAAGCAGCAGCAGACGGAGCTGGCTGGCCCTCTCAGAAGCAGGCAGCTAGCTGTCCTGTTCACTGTGCGGAAATGAGTGGGCGCCAGGTGGCCCCTGTGGCCTAGCTCAGCGCGGTAAAAGTACTAAGTCAGTGCTTTTTCTTGCGCTCCCAGGCAAATTAGTCAGTTTTGAGAAGAAGGAAGAAAGGAGTTGGAAAGGAGAGACAGAAAGGGAGTTACTTAATACTGCTCTCTCCCAGGAACAGACTAAAAATCTCTTCCCAAAAGCATAGGGTGGGTGTTACAGGTGACTTCCACCCCAAAGCCCAGCAATAGAAATACTGCTCTTTAAATTGTGTTTCTCTTGGGGGGAGGGGGAGTGACCTTCTGTTATTCTCTTCTTCCTTTTTGACTGGGGAGAAAGGAAGAGACAAATGTGTTTTTTCTCTTTGTTTCAGGTATAAAGAAAGGAAAAGACTAATGCAGAAACCGAGAAATGGTTTTCATGTGACATATAACTAACCCTATTCCCTCTCCTCATGGCAGGTGATGGAAATGTACTGGAACAATGGGAAAAGCCAGTAACTTATAGGAAGCCAAGATGACAAGAATTTTTTTAAAAAATCAGTAAGTAAAATTTTGTTAGCCCTCCAGAATCCTTTTGACTACCAGGTGAATTTTCTTACAGAAAATTTTCTCTGTAAGAAAGAATTTGGTATGAGGCTTTGTTTATTGATTTAGAAATGTAAGTTTTAATGAAAGTGAATTATCTCCAGAGAGAGAGACAAAACAAAACAGAATCTGGGCAGTTTAAAGTTCATAGGGGCTTGATTAAAATCTTAAGGAATAAAATGGAGGGAAGAAAGGAACCTGGATCAGGTATCTCCGTGTTTCTTCTAAGAAGCACTTTCTTTGGTTTTCTAACTTGCCTTTTATAGGGAACAATTGAAGCCTGAAATTGCTAAGTAACAGCTAAGATTGTGGTGGTTGTTTTTATTTTAAATCTCACCCACCTAGTTTTTAAAGCACATTTTTTATTGAACCTTTAAAAAATGTCTTGGATATTTCAAAACATTCATTTACATCAGTTCCCTTATGTAATCTTAAAACATTTATTTTCCTTATTTCTTCTTAACACAATAGGCATTTATGGTTTCTACTGAGTCAGGGATGGACTTGGATTATTGCAAAAGTTATTCTTGTTTATTTCAAGCAGAAGCTTGTGGATAGAAATCTGAGAGCCTTGCCTCTGGATTAGGAAATACTGATCTCTGTCTTAATCAAGTTGAATAAGGGTATCTTTGGTAACTTTGAAAGCAAACATGGAGGTAATAATTAACAGAGAAATTTCACCCAGATAAAATGTTCTGATTTGTAATTTCTCTCACCAGAATGGGCCTTAAGCTATTACTCAGCACCTTCATTACAGATGAAATTTTGACTAGGGAGTTGCTAGTTGTGTAGTCTTCAAATATGTAAATTTTACAGCCTCTCATTAGGTTTAAATCAACACACTCAGTAGTTTGCTGGATACTTGGGAGTCATGGGTTATAAGAGTGAATTCCAGCATAAATAAGGCAGGCTTACTCCGTCTTGGGAGATGACAATCAAGCCTGAGCATAGGACGTTATAATTTCAAAACAAATGTGGTTGAGGTTATAAGAGATATACAAGGTTGGGCAAAAGTAGGTTTATAGTTGTGAATATGTGAAACACAGTTTATTCTTGTATTATAATTGTTGTATTATTTTCTGTGTGAACAACTGTAAACTTACTTTTACCCTGCCCTGTATTAAACACTCAGGGAACAGGTGGGAGAGAGAAATTACCTGTGCGACATGACGGAGCTAGATCAGGGAGGGTTTCAGGAATTTGAGTTGGGTATTTAATTAGCAATGCCTTTTAATTAAAATATGTTTTTAAAAATTATAAAAATGAACAGTGCTAACTGTAAAGAACTTTAAAAATGTGAAAATTATTAAGAGTAGAAAACTCATCAATATTATCACTACCCAGAGATACTATTATTACTATTACGGGGTTTTGTTGTTGTTATTCTGCCATACTCTCTCTATGCCTAGATTAGATACAGAGTTTTTTCCTCCCTAAAATGGGTCATTATAAATATTGTTTTGAAACCTGATTTGATTGACAATATACCGAGATCATGCCGCATCAGGAAATATACATCCACATCATTCTTTGTTATTGTTATATAGCATTCCATGTATATGTGGCTTATAATGTATTTAATTAGTTCTCTATTAGTGGGCATCTTAGTTCTCAACTTTTCACTGTAATGAACATCTTTGTGCATGAGCTGTGTGTGGTGCACTTACCGAATTGTTTGTGCAGGATATTTGAATAGAGTTGTGACAGTGCTTTAGGGAAGGAACACTGCAGGTAGAAGAAACAGCTTGAGCAAAGGGGCAGAAGTGGGAAAGGAATATCCTGTTCTAGGGGAAGGCTGGAGCTGTAGTTGAGTAGATTGCAAATAGAGAGAGGGAGCAGTGCTAATTAGGGCTGGAGGTAGAAGACAGAGGGTCTTTGATGCTAAGCCCTTTATACATTCTCAGTTGGGAGCCATATTGGACTCTATATCATTCTTCAAATGAAGATTCTGAATACCTTCATTTTTTCCTAATTCTCTACTTTGGGAAGAAATAAAAATTATTAATAGTTCTGCTTTCCAAAACTTTTTGAGTCTTAAGAAATCAACCCATCAGGGAGTGAACAGGCAACAGAAGCTGGGACAAGTGTCTATGTCCGTAGAAAAAAAACTGCAAGAGGAAAGGAGCTTATGGTCTTGAAAAGTGAAGGAAACATGGTTAGTAAATGTATTTTCTACACTTTATGATTAAAATCTAAAGATTAGGGGACCAATATCACAATAATAATACAATCTTATATACTGGGTACATTTTTGTGCTTGTGTGTGCTTCGTTTTACTTACTCTCTCGAAAACCTTAGCAAGAGTCTAGGATAATCTCCGCTTTGCAGGTGAACTCGAGGCCTGGAAGGCTGGCTTCGGGGAAGGAACACCATGCATGGAGTTCTGCAGTTCAGGCGCTGCTGGGCCCTTAGGCAAGACCTGTAGGGATGGTTGGGAGGACACACTGAGGCAACATCTGAAAGGTTATGAAAACAGCATGAAGTACCATAGAAGCAAGGGACTACCTTTTATAATCAGATACCTCTTTAGTCATTACTGAAGGGAAGAAAACATTTCTTTAGCTATTTTCTATTGCCTTTGTGGTGATTATATTCTTGTCAAACATTTATTGTTCCTTCCTACCCATCTCCCGCCCCTGTGGGAGGATTATGCTTTCCCACCCCACTCAGGATTGATCCCCATGGCTTGGCCAGAGGACTTAGTGTGGCCAATGAAATGTGAACAACAATGACACGTGCCATTTTTGAGAAGCTTTGTTAGACATGGCCTCGTCCTGCCATTCTCTTCTATTTGCCATGAGACCAGCATGTCCCAGTGAGGGGAGCTTCTTCTGGCGTGGTGGCAGAGTGAAGAGGACACGGAGACCAGCCATAGTGATCTGCAAGGAACCAAACAGGAGCCAGAAACAAACCTTTCCCCAAGATCATTGGCCCCCAGAATATTTATGCTATTTGTTACTGCAGCATAATTTAGCCTGAACTGATCTATTACAATTGTTGTAATATATCTTTTTCTTGCATTGAAGAGGAGAACCTTCATCAGAGATTATCACTTCAAATAAGGCATTTTCATAAGGTATTTAAGTTTGACCATGTTGACCCTTTTTTTTTTTTTTCCAAACATTCAAACCTTTGTAGAACATGTGCTGTGTTTAGGTCTTGGACATAATCGAGGTTTAAACTAATCCAAGCCCCAGACCCAGCCTTCAGGAGCCTTAGAGTAGGATGCTGTGTGTCCCAGGAACTGTAGAACAAGGCAGAACAAGGCAGACGGTCAGGTGCTATAGGAAAGTGTCAGTTTTATAATCCGTGAGCTTTGTTCATTAGGTACCCCGCTTTGTTGTATGCCACCATTAAGATGCCCTTTGTGTCAGTGCTTTATGTTAGTTAAGTTTTTCTGCCCTTTTCCCTTTCCTCCTGAGCATGTATTTATAAAGATTTTATGTATTTCTAGAGAGAGGGGAAGGGACGTGGAAAGAGAGTGAAAGAAACGTGATGTGAGAGGAAAAAAATCGATTAGTTGCCTTGCATACATAACCTTGATCAGAACCAAACCCTCGACCCAGGCAAGTGCCCTGACTGGGAATTGAACTGCGACCTTTTGCTTTGTGGTACGATGCCCTACAGAGCCACACTGGACAGGGCAGCATGTATTCACCATAGCATTTAATTTGTAGCACATGTTAGATTTCCTTATTCTCAATTTATATTTTTAGTGGAACAATTTGTACTGATTCATTCAGTAGTTTAGTCTATATGCTCTTTCTTTTGGCATATATTGTAAATACTTTAACTTTATAGATGACATATCTTAAATGTTCCCTATAATATAAATTGCTTAACACACTATTACAACAAAATTAAACTCTTAATAAATTATTGACTGTTTCATTTGAATTTTTCCCCTCATGTCATTGGTTATTTTCTCCATGATATATGAAGTGGTGTTCATTGCATTGTTGTTAGAGTTCTCCTTTCCTTTCCTTTTTCTTTTTTTTTTTTTAATGGTGTCTGAAGTGTTTAAGGCTATGCGTGGGAAAACTGGTTTGTCTTGGCTTAGTAATACCTTACCTCAATTTGGAATAATTTGGAGTTCAGCTGTCATATATCAGGTTGTATGTCTCATAATCTGACAGTTGTTAAGGAGATCTAACTTAATTTTCTATTCCTAGTGACTGGTTCTGGGTTTGGACCATGAGTGAAACCAAAAGCTCCTAGAAGTCTACTAGGAGTTTCGAGGTTAAGACAATAACGAAACTGTTCCCTTCTTTCATCATTATGAATTCAACTATTTTCTATCTTGTTACTTCTGACCACTTATTCACTTTGATTTCAAAAGGCACAAGGTTCATTTATTATTAAAATCCCATCTTGAACCAAGGACTTCCACACTTTTTGTCCATGCACAGAAAAAAATGGTTGCAGGCTCAGTCAGCCAGACAGGAGCACTCAGAGCAACCATGGCTTTTCAGCTTGGGTGGTGGGTTTGTAATTGTTGATTTTAAAGTTATTTTTCCTGGCAAATATGTTAAATATATTCTCTTGTGCATATTAAATACTGATAACCAAAAATGTTTTTAAGTGTAAAACACAATGAATGATGTTAAATGCATTGATTGCATTTATATTGGCAGAACTGAGTCACGTGAGTCAGTTATCGTTGTATTAGTAATTTTCTTTTGAAACACCTTGCACAGGTATTTTAATAGATAGTACCTACCCTCTTTATTCTAAAGGGCAAAAGAAATTTTTAATGAAGATGCTATTTATAGACCCTTGATTTTTCAGATGATCTTCCTGGTAAGTTATAAGAAGCATCAGTATAGTTGAAGGCTTATTCAGAAATAGATTCTTTTGTTCTGCCACAGAAAAGTACCGTCTCAGGAAGATACAGAAAGTTAATATCTGGCTGTAGAATGTGACTGCCCACTGGTTCCTTCTTTCCACAGAAATCT